CCAGTAATCAATTTTTAACATGTTTTGATGAACTGACTGAAATATTTTAGCCCAAGAACAAGTCATATTTAAAATAGATTAAATCGAATTGCTTATAACGCTTTAGATTGAACAATTTATGATAAAACCAAAAAAAAATGTCCATTTTTAATAATTCTTTGCAAGAGTCGTTTGACATATGGAAGGAATAGAAAAAATTTGAATTAGATACACGAATTCCTTTAAAATTCTATTGGAAGAAAAAACAAAACCTATATATAATATCCATAAAAAATATGTTTATAAAATTTTCCTTATATTTAAATATCTTAAGAAAATTTCCTAAAAAACTTGCGTCTGTTATAATTTTTTGTTCAAATTCAAGATTATTTTTAAATAATTTTTTCACAAAAAAAAAAAAAAATGTAGGATTTTTGCAAAACTTTTAAAGGATAAGTAAATAAGTAGTAATTGTGTACATCTGTGCTTTTGATAAAGTGAAATTATTTAACTAATGATAGTTAACTAAGACGAAAATTATTTTCGGCTTGAGTCCAATGTGCCTTTATCCGCTTACAGATGTTTTGGAAACAAAAAAATGTTCAAGTAAAATATATACATATGTGCGTGTGCTTGATATATATACGATAGACTTTTCCATTCTATTCACAGCATTGCATTACATTGCAGCTGGCAAAGCTTCACGTACGTGTAGACATAACGTGACGTGAGGAGCGCAAAATAAATGCCGCACACATATGATCAGATCTATCGGAATACCGTTTAGCCGGTTTAACAAACACTTGAACCTTAACCTAGCCAGGTTATTAAGAAAAAATTTTTAAACTAAATTTAATTTTCTATCCAAACCAAGCCAAGTCGCCGAAACAAATCTCTACCTTGTTTCGTTTCATTCGTATTATTAATAATTTGTTTGTGCATATATGATCGGATCCTTGGGGAATACGCTTTAGGCAGTTCAAAAAATATTTGCATCTTAACCTAGCGAGGTTATTAATAAAAGCATTCTCAACCAAAGTTAATTTTCTATCCAAACCAAGTCAAGCCGTCGAAAAAAATCTCTATTTTATTGCGTTTCATTCGTAATATTACTAATTTGGTTATCCTTCGTTCATTGTCCGTCCAGCTGGACTGCTAAAGTAGCATTAACATATTATTTTCCATCCATTTTATGCTTCCGAAGGTAAACGTATATTTAAACTTCTCACTGAAATTTGATCCAAATTTTTTTTTTGTTTGGACCTTGCTCGTCTATGCGTAATTGAAAAGTTTATAGAGAAATCGTATATAAATGAAATCTCAAGCATTTACAGCTACATAGCTTAACTGCAAGGGCGCATTACATCAAAATATATGAATTTCTCTGGGACATCTTGAGCATATTCTTGGATATTATAAGTGGAATAATTCTAATTGTTCTAATTGTAATTTACCGGGCAATCCACACTGCGATCTAAGAAGATCTATTGCACTCGCCCATGTCTTGAGCCCTTCAGCTTTAGCATTCTTATAAATCCCGCCACCTTCTTAAGTTTGGAACGTCATACGGAATCCCTGGCGGTGTTACAAAATGTTCACCAACCATTTGACATCTGAATTCTGTAGATGGCTCGCATAGGATGTGATGAGACATTTCCATCGCCTCTTCGCAGAATTTACATGAATCGATGAATAAGACAGCGCTACATTTTTGCAAGTGGTCCATGGAGAAATAGAAGCCATTTCAATTGCTTAAAAATTTGTATGGCGGAAGAGAAGTCGTGTCTTAGCCACACAAAAAAAAAAAAAGGAAAAATCGAATAAAATTCTTCTCACTTAACTGTTATTACTCACTCGTTAAAATGTATTTTCAGTTGGTTTTTATTTTTTTTATTTTTTTTTTTTTTATTTTTTTAAACAAATTTCTTAAACAACACTATGAACGTCACTTAATTCGTATTTAATACTGACTATGAACATAACATGTATATGTATTTTTGTTTTCTGTGTGCAACACATAACACCATATTCCACTTACTAATAATCATAAACACGAAACATTACTTTAAAGCTTTTCACTAAGAAAATAAAGGAAGTAAAGAAATTATTGCAGTTTTCAAAGTTTTGACTTTTTTTTTTTTTTTGTTTTGAAAATTAATCATTACATCCGCAACACAAAAATATCCATCTCACCGCAATAAAACATTCTCTCTCGCTCTGCCACTGAATCACACTCTTTGAGTATGAATAGTTAAGAATCAAAGAAACAAAAAAAGAATAAAAGGAAAAAGAAGGTGTCAGGAATATATATATATATATTTTTTTTTATTTGATATTAAAGACAAACTTTTTTTGTTACATAGTTTTCAAAAGTTCGCATTTACTCTTGTTCCCTTTTCCAATTAATTGATATTCTTTTATTTCTTTTCTATATTTTATATTTTAATTACTGTAGGTTCACTTACCCCAACGCACAGTAGCAATGTTGCATTGCAACATCAACCACAACGTCCCCGAATGCGTTTAAAAGTGAGTCCACTAAGCAGTCCTATTGCCACCGTCGCACCAGGTTCAAGTGTAATAAAATTTGAGCCAAGCTCTACTAATGATGAAGATAATGAAGACAAAATACCTACAATGTGTATAGAAAAAAAAGTTTCAGTAACATCGGCCGGCACGGCAGTAAGCAATGTCGGCAGCGGTCATGGGGTGAGTGGTTGTAATTTGGATGATGAAGAGGACGATGAGGATAGTGAGCAACCGTGCGATTTACGTTTGAGTAGTCACTTTAAATTAAACCTCGTCTCGATTGCACTGCAGCAAGCTGCTGCTGCAGCAGCCTCTGGTGATCAGCAAACTGCTGCCGCTATGGCGGCCGCGGTTATAGGTAGTGGTACCGCAGGATCGACCGGTATGCCACCCGCAACACAATTGCAACATGCTGCCTTACAAAGTATAGCTGCCGCAGCGACATCATCGCATCATCATCATGGGTCGAGTCATTCTCTACATCAACAGCATAGCCATCATGCCTTAATGAATTTTCCTACACATGCGGCTGCAGCGGCTGGAGCTGTCACCCCTACACGCCGCTATAGTAGCAGCAGTGCCGGAACGAATTTAACTGCGGCTGCTGCAGTTGCTGTGGGTGGCTCAAGCGGGCCAGCTTCTGTTGGTACCGCTACCAATGCCGCCGGTACGGCTCTAGGTGTTTCTACCTCAAGTGCTGTAGCACCCCATACACCTACATCTAGCGGTAATGTCGTTGGTGGCGGTGTTATGGGTGCCTCTGGATCCAATAGCGCAGGCGCTCCTGGATCTAGCGGCACTGGCGGTAGCGGTGGCGGCAATAATTCTAACACATCGTGGGGTGGGGCTTACACATGTGATCGTTGCGGCAATTCATACGCCCGACCGCACAGTCTTAATCGACACGTGCGCTTCGAGTGCGGCGTCGAACCCAAGTTTGAGTGTCCCATTTGTCACAAGAAATCTAAGCACAAGCATAACCTAGTATTGCATATGCGCACTCATCAACATCGATGATATAATCGATGACAGACAATACGATACAATTCTCAGACACTAATAACAATAACGCGTTATCGTTTTCGCGCTTCTAATTGAGAAATAGAGACAAAAACGTAAGAGCTTAAAAATTAGTTAAAAGAAAAACAAACAAAAAAAAAAAAAAACTGAATCCATTCTTTAAGTCAAGCTTTATGAAAATAACCCTAAAAAAAAAACAGTGAAACAAAGGAAAGCCTTTAAATCTACATTTTTTACCAGGACACGCGGTGTGACGTTTTCTTTTCTTTTTTTTTTGAGGATTTTAAGTCGTGCTTAGATTTTCTGCTTACAAATGTTTCGGAAAAGAAGAAAAAAAAAAAAAAAAATAGAATAGATAGAGGGGGAATCAGAAGCTTAAGAGTGCCAGAGAAAATCTTTAATTAATTTGTAATCTTTTTCTTCTTACAACGCAGTGATCTCAATAACATTAATAGTTATGCATTTGATTAAACTTTAAATACGTAGTTTTTTTAAAAGAAAGTTTTCACAGTTTTTTAATTGCATTCTTAGTTTTCTCTGGAAACTCGAATAATTCTTGAAAACTTCTCTTTTTCTATATTTACTACTCTCTTGGGTTTTGTTTTTAATCTTGATTTTGAATATTTTTTTTTTTTTTTTTTTTTTTTTTTTTTTGATACAATACTTGCCTTAACAAAAATAGCATCTAAAGCTACGCAGAGTTAGGTTTTTTTGAAAATTAAAATTTTCAAATAGAGTCATCATTAAGTTTAATAAATAATAAAAATTAATTAATTACTTACATAACAATTTAAAACTAAGTATCAGAACTAAATGTGCAATACAAAAAATAAAAACAAAAAAAAAGAGAAAAAATACAGTTTACAACAAATAATACAAACAATCTAACAGCACCAGTTTAAGAGAAAGAAAGAGAAATCGCGTACATAGTTGCAATAGCGATTGCTTTTCCGTAACTTTTGCGTAATTCATAGAAAAAGCGAAAGAAGATAAGCGCAGTAGAGAGTGAGAGCGAGATAGGAAGATTACATACAATGAACGAATAATTTTACTAAAAGTAAGTTTATATTCTAAACGAAGTGAAAAAGAAAGAGAGCGACGAAGATATAGATAGAAAGTACTATAAACAGAAATGAAGAGAGAGAGAGGTAAAATTAGCTAAATAAATATGTGTGTGAGATAGATGTAAACCTAGAAAAAGATAGAATGGCAACAAAAAGGTGTACTTTGTTTTAAACTAAAATAAAAAAAAAAAAATCTAAAGATATTCATATCTCAGGTATGTACAGTTCGAAAGTGATGCTGAACATGCGCGACAAAGAGAAAGGGAAAGTACACCTCTTTGGCTGAATATTATTGCATATGCTGAATACCACTTGTGATAGAGAAAATGTGGATGAAAAGAGTAGAAACCGTTGAAAACAAATATATATATATATATATAAATAAAAAATATTTATATAAAAAACGACGAAGCGAAAAGGTAAAAGAAAAAAAAAAAAGAAAAAAAAGAAGGATATATTGTAAACTTATAGTAAAAATATGTAATCATTTTTTTTTTTTTTTTTAATGGCTAAGGGTCTGTAAGCACTTTTAGTTTCTTGTGATTCTTGTGTTTAAAACACACTGTAGTTATAACTAGTCAAACAATGACAAAGATTTCGAAAAACAAGAAAGTTTTAAAGAATAAAAGGCGATTGAAAAAACAAAGAGCCATCGGAAAAGAGTAGTGGAATTGGAAATGGAAATGTGAAATAAAGCAAAAAATAAATAAATAAAAAGTAGAAGTAAAATAATAATTACTGTAAATACAAAAACAACTGCTACGCAAAGAGCAAATACAATCCCCGATAAACTTTCAAATATTTTAGATAAATATTTTTTTTTTGAAGAAAATATAAAAAAAAAAAAAACAAATTATATTTACACCTCCTTACACAACACACCAGACCAACCACTTATATGTATATAATATGTATATATATATGTATTTACGGATATATATGCATATATAAACATCTTAAAAAAGAAATATCGAAAAAATAACTAACTTTATATAGAAAAATCTTTGCATTTAGCTTTGCAAACTATTTATGAAACAAAATGAGCTGCACTTAAATGGAAACCAACAAAAAAAAGAAAAAAAATTTTTTTTTTGAAAATATAAGAAATGAAAGGAAGAAAAAAAATATCTAAAGGCCGTCCTTTTTAAATTATAATTAAATTCATTTTCTTTATATTTTCTTCATTTATATATATATTTCCGCAAAATTTTGGTAACTTGCAAAGCTTAATAAAAAAAAAAAAAAAAAAAAAAAAAATAACCGTTATATGTAAAAAAAATTTTTTTTTTTTGTTTAATTTTTAACATTTAATTTTTACACTTGCGATCTCTTTTTAACGTTATATATGTCTATTTTTTCCTTTTTGTATATAATCGTAAAGATAAAATCTATTTCTTTGATAGCTTTTCTAGTTGTATTGTTTTTAATCTTTATTATTATTATTATTATTATTATTATTATAATAATATATAATTTTATAAAATTTTTAATATTAAAGGATTTTGATTTTTTTTTATGCAAACGATTAATAACGAAAAAATAGTTATATTTACTTCATTCCATTAATTAAATTTAAAACAAAAAAAAAAAAAATATTTCCGAATTCTTATCGTATTCTTTAAAAATCTGTGACCCAGCAAGGTTCAATACTTTCATTTTAACTTTCTTATTCATTTAGTTAAGAAACTTGACTATCTTGTTATTTCCTTAAAGCGAAAAGTGCAAGTGTCTCGTTTTCGAGACTTCACTTCATTGTTGAGAGAACTCAATGCTGGTACCAGTTCTTTGCATTATATGACAAAGAGCCAAAATTTTGCGCTTATTTGTCAAGAGGGTTTCTCTTTAGTGAAGAGGTAAACGACATCCGAATTCCTTTGCAAAAACTCTTAAAAAATATCTTGGAAGACATTAATCTAAACCCTGGAAATTATTTCTTATTACGAATCCCGAAGTTTGAAGAAAAAAACACTATACTATGGCACGGCGCATCACTTAACACATTTTTTCATATAACGACTTTTCAAAAGAACTCTTTGTATTGGAGGTGGTCGAAAAAGTAATCCGATCCGAAGCATTTTTAAGACATGTCAACGTAAGAAATTTCATAAAAATATCTCCAGAAAAAAATTTACGCCCTGGAACATACGTAAATAACATTGTTAAGTCACGAAAAATACAATCAAAAAATGTCGTTGGACTTATGACTTCCCGGTGATGTTGTTCAGAATACGATTGGAAGTATATCGGTAAAGCAAAATTTAGAAAGTTCTTTCAAAGAAATTAAATGTTGTTCTATGTGCAATGTGTACCTTGTCTCTCAATCAATGCATTATTACCTTCTCAGAGGAAATAACTTTTACTTAATATTTCATTAATTGGACTCGTCTTCTTCTTCTTCTTTTCTTCTTCTTCGTTTTATAAAACTTTGCTTTTATATAAAAATTTATATAAATTAATAATAAAACTAAAATAAAATAATAAAATCCGACACTCGCTTATGTTGCCACAGTCAATAGTCAGCTAATCATATATAACAATTAGTCAAGCAACCATCAAAATACACAGTCAGTCAGTTAGTCACAGTTAGACGAAAACCATAGAAAATGAAATAATTAAAAAAAAATAGAAATAATGAAAAAAAATTAATTTATTGGAATGTGATACAATAAAAGATAAATTTTAAAAATAAATAATAATAATAATAATAAAAAAATCAAACACAAAGATAAATAACATAAAAAAATAAATAACTAAATTATAATAATAACATTTAAATTATAAAATTAACTTATTATTAATAGATTTAATACGAACGTTTTTAAAGAAAAAAAAGGATAAAAAAAATTTTATAATTTATAATTTGTTTTCTTTTTATATTCTTGCATATACCATATATATACCATATATATATATATATATATGTTACTAATGAAAAATATCAGCTAATTTTTGTTTTTATGCTTTTTTGTTTTCTTCAAAATCTATGCAAACAAAAAAGAGAAAGAAAAATTCTAAAAAAAAATTTATGCAAAGAAAAAACAAACACAAACGATTTTGTGCTGTGAAAATGTGATAGCAACCAAATCCTCTCTTGTATGTTAATATCGTTTGAGCATAAATTTAAAAACAAAACATAAAACAAACAAAAGAAGAATTTAAGGTTTTTTTTTTTTTTTAAGAAAAATATGGCGCAAAAAATTATGTTAATATTATTTTATTTTCGGTGTTTTTTTTTTTCCTTATTTGCCGTTAATTTTGAAAGTGACTTAACCTTGGTTTAATATTCGAGAATTTTAATTTTGTTACTTTATATTTTAAAATTATTGCTCTTCATATGTCTTAACAGATAGCAAAAATGCATCAGATTCTAGTAAATTGCATCGTCGTAGTCAATCAATGCAGTTCTTTTTTTAGTTTTTGAAAGACGTTCGTCTTTTCCGACGGCAGCTATCATCATTTTCAAGTCATTTTCGATTTACAGTATCAGGTATAGGTCTCGTAATGATCTGCAATAGCTCGGCAAGCGATAATATAATATTCTCCTTGTTTTCATTCCTTCACAGTTACGTGCGTACTGGTTCACATTGCCCCTTAGCCATTGCATACGTATGCATTGCCTTCAACACGATAAATTGATAAACAAAGAGGTGTCCCTACTCTTTCGTTTTCATTCATCAGGATCACAAGATCGTCTAATCATTTCTTGCGTACGTATTGCCCCCGTAATGATAGATTGATATACGGATGGTTGTCCCTATTGTTATGTTTTCATTCTTCCACAATCATGTGCATACTGGACCTCACGGCCATTTAGTCCTTGCGTACGTACCTATTGTCTTCAAGACGGTAGTTGATCCCTTAGGATCCGTGAAGTCGCGCAGCCATCATAGTACAGTTATCTATTTAAGAATTGAACAATGTACTTTGTACAGC